ATGCCAGTGCTGTGTGTGGGATAATTTAAGGAGGTTCTAACAAGTGTCGTCGGCATCTTCGTATCTGGTCACATGGGTGGCAAGCCACTCCCACAAAGAAGGCCACAGAGTAGGTTTCAACAATTTTTGAAACCCACCACTGGTGTGTGTGTGTGTGTTGTGTGAAAGATAGATAGAGAGAGAGGGAGGGTGGGAGGGAGATAGAGAAAGAGAACGAGAACAAATAATTTTAGGGGATTTTTTATGGCAGTTTTGCTACACTTTAGAAATCTGCCCTCATTACACCAGAACATTCATAAAGGAGTACAAATAAATATGTATTACAAACCTGAAGTTTCTGAGCAAATACTGGAGGATTCTTTTCCGCTAAGTCAGGCTCCAGATACTGAAGCTGATCGCATACTGCAGGCGGATGAGATATCCTACTAAGAAGAGCATCAGCGGAAACATAGGGATCTTCAGGACTGATCTGAAGAGCAAGAAAGATAAAGAAAATGAGATACATATTCATGATTAAAACTACTTATAAGCTCCAGTAAATATATGGCAAATGCCAACCAAATCTGAAGTAAAATATATATTTTTTCAATTGGACCATAAAAACGTGAGGAAAAAAAAAGAAATTGAATACCATGGAATAGTTCACATATACTGTAGATTTTCTTTAAAAAAAGATTTAAGACAATTATTTTCTGTTACATACATTTTTTTTACTAGTGAAACAATTCCATTTCCAAAGAACTTTTGGCAGACTGATAACACTAGATGTGTAAGAACCACAAATCTCAACTAGATTTGGAGAAGTCAACCCATAGCAGATTTTCCCAAACTATAGCTAGGAAACTTTTGGGGGAACTAGTGTTGTATTATTTATTTGTTTGTTTGTTGTAGACATGCAGAAAAAAAGAGATGGGACTTGCACAAGTCTATCAAAGCAGGGAGAATAATTTTACATATTTTTCAAGAAATGGCCCTGTGCCATTTCTCCACTCTTGGGGAAATAATAATCTAGAGCAGAGAAGCATGTCATAAATAAGAGAGTAAAGCAACAATTTCTAATTGCTAATTTATATGTTGAAGATCCAGTTTGGGACTGCTAAGATGTTTGTGTAGAACAACAGAATCTGGGGGGCTGGGGAAGGGTGGAATGGCATTATTGAAAATTGGGGAAAGGGGTAATTAGGTCAAACAGTTTCAGACTGATGATCTATAGTAAGCTTGATTTACAGTCAAGCTAGATACACAATGAAGACGTGTTCCAAACCCTTGATAACTTACTATGTTGTCTGAAGCACTTCCTATGGACACAGATTCCAGTTCTTTTGTTTTATCAGTTGACTGTACTGATGATTCCTGGTTAGCTACCAGGGATCGTGAAGCTGGGTGCTGTAGTTTTATACTACAAGAAAGCTGGCTTTCTGTTTCTTCCAGACTTGACCTAAGGGAAAGACGATAGTATGTTTCTGAACTGGTTAACAGAATACATTCACTGATTGCGGTTCAACGACAAAAGCGCGCCAATGAAACCACAGCGAGAAAACCGCAGCGAGAAAACCGTGAGGTCAAAATTCCTCCGCCGAATGCGCGCAGAAGCGCGCTGACAACAGCCCGCCGACAAAAGTGCGCCTTCAACAAACAACTAATAACAACCTAATAACCCTAACCCTAACCCTAACTCTAAACCTAACCCTGAACCTAAACCTAACCCTTACCTTAACTTAAATCGCACTTTTGTGGGCACGGTTTTGTCGGCGCGTTGTGGGTGCGTTTATGACGTCGCATTTTTTTCATGGCGGTTTTGTCGGCGCGGTTTTGTCATGCGTGCATTTGTCGGGTCATGACTGATTGCCAAACTTCCTACATGAAATGGAGAATCTATGGCACGTGTGCTGGAAGTGGCACACAGAGCCACCTCTCCAGGCATGCCAGCCGTCACTCTTCTGGGTTCCGGCTGGTCTTCACACACGCATGTGCACCAGAAACCAGAAGACAAGCGCACATGTGCATGCTGGAAACTGAAAGCTCAGCTTCCTGGCGCGTGCATGCGCACCAGGGAAGTGCTCTTCCGGTTTCTAGTGTGTGCGCACCAGGGAGCCGCTCTTCCGGTTTCATGATGATGCTAAAAAGGTTCACCAACACTGGCCTACATATTCTTCTGTTACATCTCAGTCAAGTCTCAAGATTATGCTATTATTTCTGTTTAAAATTAGCATTTGTTTAAAATGACTGGCATAACACAGGGTCTTATTCTAGCACGTGAATGGCAGACTTTTGAGTTAAGAGAACAATATGGTTCTATTCTACATTGTAACTATGATGGAATATCTTATTTTTAGTTCATTCTACTTCTAAATCTATATCTGCCAGCATTACTTTATAAATGAATACAGCTATTATTAGATGTTTAAAGTTGTGGATATCAAACTCTTTATGAATTATTTTAAGTTGTCATTTTCTCCTCTTGGACATTAATGGAGTAATGACATATTTCTTTATTTATTATTATTTATTTATTTATTTTTATTTTTTATATATATTAATTTTTATTTTAAACACATAAACACATCAACAGAAACAAACACATGACTTAAAAACAACATAGGAACAATAAGTTCCATCGTATATCATACAGCAGTTCTGAATCGGTTTCTTTGCAGTTAGTGTTTTCCCTACTATACATATCTTTCTTTCTTTCTTTCTTTCTTTC